TGTAACCCTACTTTGTATAGGGTTTGCAAGTTAAACTACCTTATTTCGCTTTCTAATTATTGGTCGCTAGAGCACTTGATTACAGGCATTTGTCTTAGTCACTTTTTGTTGTTTGTATGTTTTGTTTTTCTAACTAATTGTAAGGCCCTCATTAGTAGTGATCTGACCTTTATACTTCATAGTAGCTAAGTCAGTGCTAAGTAAGAACACTAAATGTTTAATAACAGCTATTGAAACATTGCCTATCTTTTGAATTGACATAAATAGACTTTTGAAATAGGTTTTCAACTCTACATGTATTCTAAAGTAAAGTGACAAAACAACAGATAAATTCTCTTTTCAGTAATATACAATGTAGCACACTTGTTAGATGTTAGCAATAATGAGCTTACTGGTATAGATTATTAATAATTATTAGTAAAATTATTACTAATGGTCAAAAACTTTACTCCCAGTTTTTAAGAAATATCTTTGCAACAGTTTGTGATAACAGTTTTCATAAAATGTATGATTTGGATTATGTGTAGATAAGGTTTGTTTTTCATTTGATTATTTTTTTTTAAATATTTAAAAGAGACTGTTGTAATACTACATTATTTTAGAAGTTGTCCATAAATTTTTGTTTCCATGTGTTTCTTTCATGATGTAATTTACATTTGACAACGTAAATAGAATTTCCTTTGACCAGTAACAGTAAAGAGTGACACCATGTTACAGTTTTATTTGATTCCAGACAAATACATCTGCCTTTGTTCTAAAAGTGGATCTGTGGTGTTGCTCTGAGAGTCAGCTGTCTCTCTGTGTCTGACTTTTTGACTTTCTTTTTGAATTTCTGTGCTGTTTCAAATGATCACCTTGATTAGCACAAAAAAGGAAACCAAAAAGGGGGTGAGGTGTAGGAGTTGTTCCATCTTGTAAAAGTGTACTTCAAAGTAAGTGCTTCAAAATGGTACTGTCTTTTTTTCCTTTTTTTAACACAAAGCATTTAATGTGGCCACCCATTTTAAATTAGTGCTAACTTTGAAGATCAGGAGTTAAAAAAACTTATTATAACCTCTTCGTTTTATACCTCAAGAAGTTAAGACTTAGAGGAAAGGTGACTTTGTCCAAGGTCACAGAGCTTTTTAGTGGAGGAACAGAGACCTGAACTGCAGCTTCAGCCTTTCATATTCTTTCCATGGTATCGTATTACTTAGTTTTGTTCAACTTTGACTTTCAAAATGTTATGAAATAAGAGATGAAATCAAATCTGCTTTTAACTGCTTAGGTTGCTCTCTTCTCAGACTTAGCAATTGACTAATTGAAAACTCATCTATCTCTATAACCTGTTTTCGGCTGGGGTTATATAAGCATCACCTGTGAAGCTTTTTAAAATGCATAAGCTGCTTCTGAAAATTCAGACTCGGTAGCTGTGAGACCCAGGTGTGTATGGTGTGAAGTCTCCGCAGGTGATTCTGGTGCTGAGCCCTGATTGGGAGTAATTTCCCTAACCCTTAAGTATTGTTAATAAGGAAACTGATTAGAAAGTTGAAATCTCACTTTTTTTAAAAAAAAAAATCCTGTTAGGCATATCACTTTTAAGGTGGTTTTTGTATACATTTAGGTTGAAAACCCCTAATTCGAAAATCCAGAATCTGAAATGCTCCAACGTCTGAAACTTTTTGAGTGCCAACATGACTCTCAAAGGAAATGCTCCCTAAAGCCTTTCAGATTTCAGATTTTCAAATTAGGGATGCTCATCCAGTACGTATAATGCAAAAATTCCCAAATCCAAAAGAATTTGAAGTCCAAAGCACCTGTGGTCCCAGGCATTTCGGATAAGGGGTACTTGACCTGCATCTAGTATCAGCTGAGAGTGAGGGGTGGGAATTTAGGATGAGGGGCAGAGAAGAAATGAAGGGATTTGTCTCTCCTACATTGTGCAGTGGAGTTTAGACTTATGTGGTGGGCAGTGGACAGCTGTTCTAGATCCTCGGGGTGGGATGATGCTACATTGAAGGTGACAGTCTCATGTCTCTTTGCCTTTAGGCGAGCCCTCTTTTTATTGTATAAAGACCTTTAAGAAAAACTCCTGTTCTTCTTTCCTACCCAGTGGTCATAAATCTAAGGGCTATACTGTTTTCCTTCTCTCCTGATACCTGTGATAAGTTACCAAATCTTTTCAGTTTTTAGTTTTTAAATATGTTAAAACTATTTCCCCCTCTTTATCCCTACTGCTACTGCCCTAGTATAGGTCTTCATCATCTTTTACCTGAATAACTGTAACAGCCTTCTAATTGAATTCCTTGTCTGGTCCACCTTCCATATTACTATCGGTGGTACCATATTCCTTTATAAAATCCTTCAGTGGTTCCCCATTCCCTAGAATAAAGTCTATACTCTTCAGTACGTCATTCGCGGCAGTTTACTGCCTCATCACCAGCTGCTCAGGAAGCGGGTTGTGTACCCTCTACTATACCTCAGCCATTATGGATATAATGTGTTCTTTCATACCTTTGCATATGTTATTCTCTTTGCTTGCAGTGCTTTTTCCAAGTTGACCGGCCTTGTAAATTCATATGAATCCTTTAATACACCTCAGATGTAACCTCTCTTACATGTTTCCTGCCATCCTTTTTCCCTCCTCCAGTTAGCATTCCTTTTATTATTACTTTTATGGTAATTGCCTGCGCATGTGTCTGCTCTCCCCATTAGACTGTGAGATCACTGAGGGCAAGGACTGTAGGTTTCATTCATCTTTATATTTCCAGCATCTACTTCAGTGTCTGGCATATTTGCGTTCAGTAAATGTTCTTAAAAACTGATGTAAATTGAGTTGTATTTCTCCACATGTTCAGTTAAAAATTGAGCTTTCGTAGCTGAAAGAACTGACAGTAATTTTTTTTTCACTTTTTTATGAATATTTGCCTCTTCCTATTTTTTATGATTTTCAAATTACTTGGGATTTTTTTTTTTAATGGCTAAACTGTTTTCTCTCATACAGCACAAGGCCTTACTTGTAACCATGAGAAGTGGAATATTACTATGATTCATGTCCTAAGCAAAGGGAGTTGTAAATAAGTGGTAGGAGTTGACAAATTTGTGTGTTTAGTGGAGCAGATATTTCTTTGCTTTCTATTACATCAGAGTACATTGGCTATTGCATGAATTAGCTATTATGTTTTTCTTTGTATTAAATTTGTGTTTTACAAGGAGACAAAAAGATGATAGGTTCAAATTAAGTTATTCTTTTGTTCTTTTGATATTCTTTTTGCCATGTCTCTAGGTTTCTTAGAACATGTTGTTCAGACACTTAACAAGCAGTGTGGTTTTGGGCAAATTATTCAGTTGCTCTAAGCTTTAATTTCCTGTTCTGCAAAACAGATAATAGTATGCATAAGGTTGTTGTGAGAGTTAAATGAGTTAATCCACATAAGGCACTCAGAGTATGCCTGGCACATAGTGAGTATTCTAATAGCTGTTCAGCCTCATCCCATGCCACTGCCCTCTTGTTGGCCTTCCTTAACTTCCTTGGCTATACTAAGCTCTTTCCTGCTTCAGAGCCTTTGTGGATGCTCTAACCTCTACTGGGATCACAATCTTCTTCTGACTGGCTCCTGTCTAACTTCAGGTGACAGGAGCCTGCGTGACAGAGTGGGACCCTGTCTCAAAAAAAAAAAAAAAAAAAATTAGCCAGGCCTGATGGCCCATGCTTATAATGCCAGTTACTCTGGAGGCTGAAGCAGGAGGGTTGCTTGAGCCCAGAAGTCTAAGGTTGCAGTGAGCTGTGATTGTGCCATTGCACAATCACATATGCTGTGGGCAACAGAGTGGGACCCTGTCTCCAAAAAGTAGAAAAGAAGAACAAGTGTTTAACTGAGAAAATTAAATCTAATTTTCATTCTGGGAGGCCAAGGCAGGCGGATCGCTCAAGGTCAGGAGTTCAAAACCAGCCTGAGCAAGAGCGAGACCCCGTCTCTACTATAAATAGAAAGAAATTAATTGGCCAACTAATATATATAGTAAAAATTATCCAGGCATGGTGGTGCATGCCTGTAATCCCAGCTACTTGGGAGGCTGAGGAAGGAAGATCGCTTGAGCCCAGGAGTTTGAGGTTGCTGTGAGCTAGGCTAACGCCACAGCACTCTAACTCGGGCAACAAAATGAGACTCTGTCTCAAAAAAAAAAAAGAAGTTACTCAGAATAGTGGATTATTCCGATATGGCTTACAGCTTCAGTGTTATGTGTTAATTTGAAAAGAATGTGGCTGGCATTCAGCACTTGTTTGAACCAGGGCCTATTACTTATTAGCTGTATTGCTTGATTTTTCACATGTTACATGGCCATTTAAATCATAAATGTGAATTGTGCTGTATTACTATAAAACCTACCAGTGTTCACTAGAATAGCATGGTGATAATTTTTGTAAGAAAAAACAAGTAGTAACAATACCTTATTTCTATTATGAGAACAGAAAGTAAAGATAACAAAACAAGCTTCCAGGATACATGAAGTCATCATGACTAAAAATCATGTACTGTACACATACTTCATATTTTTAATTTTATTATAATAATTGGTCTTCCCTGTCATCCCCAGAAGCATATTATAAAGATAAATACATTCTCCTGTCAGCTCTCATTATTTTTAACCTCAGAAATATGAATGTTGATATGTTGGGGTTTAGGGAATAGAAAACTGCAAAAATTAAGTTTTCTATATCTGTTGGAAAACGGTATAGCTTTACAAATGCAATTTGCGGGGCAGATATAAATTGTAAACTGTGTGGCTAGCGTTAGTGAGTTGTGACAGAGCTTGATAGGCCGGTTGCAGCCTGGAAGCTGCTGCCCCAGGTGGATGATGACACTCACTAAGAGGGTCAACCACAGTGGACGTGCAGGTGTTGGCCAGAGGCTGGCCACATTTTGCAAACTTCTCTTCCCCTAAAAACAAACAAACAAACAAACAACCTTTGTCTTTTGAATATTTCTCAGAATTCAGAAATTTTTTTTTCTTTTCAGAAAACCGAAGAATGGGAAAAACATAAGACTGAAGCAGACATGGAAGAGTATGTATGGGAAAATAGCTCCTCAGAAAAAAATATCCTGGAAACACTTCTCCAGATTAAAGCTGCTGAGAAAACTACGGACGTAAATGAAGAAGAACTCCTTGGTACTAAAGAAGTTGAAGATTACAAAAATTGTGTCGTTACTCTTAAGAACGAGGGGGAAAATGAAAATACCCTTTCTCAGTACAAAGAATCAGTGAAGAGACTGTTAAATTTGACATGAATTACAAAGTAGAAAAATCTGCTTTATTTATTAATTTGATGATAGATGTAATCAGTATCTAATTGGGTGTAAAATTGAAAATGTTAAAAAATCATCTTATATCAGAGTTAAAGTTACTTCATTTCATACTAATGCTCACTGGCAGTAATTATTCTAAAGTTTTCTTATTTGTACACTGGCACAATTAGAGTAATTAGATCTCTGATCTTTTTTCTTTTTATTGTAAAGTGTTTTGATTTTATTTCTACACAATAACTTTGTATGCATATATACATATACTTAATTGTTATTTTGTCACTTGCCACATTTCTTTCCCCACAAGCTGGCATTCAGCGGTTGCTTTTGAGTAATGATTTTGGTTCTTTGGGAAGGTAGGCCCAGGCCCTAGTCCCTTGACTTGCAGGTCAGTACTGGTTCACATGGCTGCCTTCTAGCCATTCCATTTTTCAAAGTTGCCAATTCTGGTCAGAAACAGGTCTCAGGAGTATTTTGTAACCTGAAATATTTATTCCATCCCTCCCTTTTGGGGGCACTTTATGTTGATTCAACTCTGTCGAGCATTCTGCTTTCTATATTGTGAGGCTCATTTTGCCAGGCCTAAACTTGCAGAAGAGTAGAAGTGGAGATTAGCTGGTTTTCATCCCTTTGGATGCCCCAGTTAGAGAGCTGCCACAGCTCAGAAAGAAGTGACATATAAGGACCTTGAATTTAATTGGAGTAAATTACAAAATAAAAACTACCCTAACATATATTCCATTCAATTTGGCTATCAGTTCAGTATTTTTAAGTATACCTGTAAGCTTTTTCTTACCACTTCCATACTTGTTGACAAGTGATTAATTTCGAATCAGAGTAAAGGGATTATTGAGCATTTATTTGCCTAACAGATTTATTTTGTCTAACAGAATTAGAGAATATAAATAAAAGCCAAAAGGAATTTCAAAACAATTTCCTAAGACATTTGCATAAAATGAAGGTTGAGCTGGGCACAGTGGGCCCTGCTTGTAATCCCAGCACCTCTGAAGGCTAAGGCAAGAGGATCACCTGAGGCCAGGAGTTTGAGACCAGCCGGGGCAACATAGAGAGACACTCTGCCCCGTCTTAAAAAGAAAAGTTATAGTTTGGTATTGGTAAGGCCAAGGCTCTAGAGGATATAAAGGACAACAGGAAAGAGACATGTGTTGTGTTCCATTTGATGGAAATAGTGAATGAAAAGCAAAATAGGTAAAACAATTTTTTGATCATGTTTAGAACACACTTTAAGAAATATATCAGTTCATTTAGAGACTTGTGTGGAGTTAAGGAAAACTCGTATGCAGAAACAGGATTGAAGACGGAAACATTTTGAAAAGAGTAGAAGCTAAAAAGAGGTGTCACTGGGGAACATGTGAAGAAGTGGCAGCTTAGGGTGGTCCATCCTGTGTGATAATACAGCATAGATGAGAGCAGAAGGAGTAATGATCTGTAATAAAGAATTTGACCAAAGAGAGATCTGGCCTTTACCCAGACTCTCTAATAGGAGTGTCTTTGTTTTGGCTGAGAGCTAGCCCCAGAAGATCTGAGGACGGGACCAGCCATGCCAGAAAAACCAGCCACGGGATTTAGCGTGAATGCTTTGGGTCACATGGTATCAGTCCACCTGGCAGCTGAGATCAACTACCCAGGCAGACAGTCAGTCATACCTACATAATGGAACCCAATAAAAGCTCTGAACACTGAAGCTCGGGCAAACTTCTCTGGCTGGCAGTACTCCATCCATATTGTCACACACTGATCCTGGGAGCTAAGCATTTTTGACCCTTCCTGGACTTCAACCTGTGTGCTGCGTCTCTTGGGTGATTTTAATATCTATCCTTTCCTGTAATAAACCATAATCATGAGAATGATTGTTTTCATTGAGTTCTTGTGAGTTATTCTAGTGAATTTTTGAACTTGAGTATGTTTTGGAGAGAACCACCAAACTTACAGTAGATGTTAGAAGTGAGGGCAATCATGTAGAGCAGTGGTCCCCAACATTTTTGGCACCAGGAACCAGTTTCATGGAAGACAGTTTTTCTACAGTCAGGTGGGGCAGGGGGAGGCGGAGTGCAGGTGGTGATGTGAGCCATGGGGAATGGCTGTAAATACAGATGCTGCCTCTCACCCGCCACTCACCTGCTGTGTGGCCCGGTTCCCAAGTTTTATGGAAGATAATTTTTCCATGGATGGGGGTGGTGGGGGGAAGTCTGTGGCCTGTTCTGTGGCCTGAGGGTTGGGGACCTCAGATGTAGAGGACTGTGCCCTCTTGGTAGTTTGCAACTCCAAGCGACTGACCTCAAGGCTCTGGGGTTGCAGTCATTGATGCCTAATGGCAAAAATCTTAGAGCTGAAAGATTAATACAAAACGCCTCAAAAATATAACAGGTGCTATCATTGTAATTTTAACAATAATAAAGCACTCTTTTTTTTTTTTAAGGCTGGTCTGGTGAAGCAGTGGGAATGAAGAAAGAACAAAGGAATCTGTAACTGTTGAGACCATCTGTAACTGGTCCAGCCACTGCACTCGGACCAACCAAGCAGCATTATTGTCATTAATTAAATCCTTGTCCTTTAAAATTTTAATTGATCCAGTGTATACAATGAACATCATCATGTTCATCCTTATAACGAGGATTCAGGGGACACTGCTGTATTGATAATGCAGTTATTTCTGACTCCAGCCTCAAGTTGTGTAGCTCAGAAATTGCTTAACACTTAGGCAACTAAGATATAAATCAAATCTCTTTCATTAATTGTAGGGTGCATTAATTCTTTCTTTACATAATTTCTTTCCAATATTGGTATTTCATAATACTAGATAGTTACAGAGTTTTTATTGTTAGAAAAAAAGATCTAGCTAGTTACACTGTTGGAAAGATTTCATGGTTACTAAATGGGAGTAACTACCTTAGCTTTAGTTATTGACTGGGCCCTGAGATCTTTCATTGTATTGTTTTGTTTTTAAAGAGTTGGGGTCTAGCTCTGGTTGCCAGACTGGAGTTCAGCAGCACAATCATAACTCACTGCAGCTTCGAACTCTTGGGCTCAAGTGATCCTCCTGCCTTAGCCTCCCAAATAGCTAGGACTACAAGTGTGAGCCACCCTGCCTGGCAATTATTTCTTTTTTCCTTTTTTTTTTTTTTTTTTTTTTGAGACACAGTCTCACTCTGTCACCCTGGGTAGAGTGCAGTGGTGTTATCGTAGCTCACTTCAACCTCAAACTCCTGGGTTCAAGCGACCCTCCTGCCTCAGGCTCCTGAATAGCTGGGACTACAGGTGCACACTTCCACACCTGGCTAATTTTTCTATTTTTAATAGAGATGGGACCTCAATCTTGCTCAGGTTGGTCTCGAACTCCCGACCTCAAGCAATCGTCCTGCTTTGGCCTCCCAGAGTGCTAGGATTACAGGCATGAGCCACTGGGCCAGGCCCTATTACTTAATAAAATTTTAGTTCAGAAGTTCTCTTTGGTCCCTTCAGCTTCCAGTAAAAGTGTGGTTTCTAGCCCCAGTTGTTTTTGCTTCTTGACTGACTGGTCTGTTGTCTCTCTAGTCCACGTTTACTCAGTTTATCTGATAGTCAAAAGTAGAGGCTGAAGAAGAGGAGGAGTATGTTTGTTTTCTTACAAAGGTAAATATGTTTGCCCTAATTATGGTCATTTCTATGAAACTGCCAACTGTAAGGAATGCGTAAAATTCTGAGAAACTCCAAGGAAGAAAAACTTTTTTATCCTAGCAGCCCTAGTTCATCGGAACTTCATATATACTTAAAATAAAATAATTTTTTTAAATGTATGTATAAAAATTTATAAAGACAGCTCCCTGTATTTATATTTATAACTTTAATTCTTGATATCTCTCCCCCAAAATAGCATGCTTTTTCCTTAATATATTAGGAAAGAAATTAATAAAATTTATGACACCTAAAATAATCATTAGCAAGTTTAGAAAATTGATTACATTTTTAAGTCAGATTTTTATTTGTGGTTATTATTCCATTGATAGAAATTTTTTTATATTTCCTTTATATAAAAGAAATAGACATTCTCTTTTTCTACCCAGTATCAATACTGAAGGAAAAAAAAAAATACCTCCTAAGCCAATTTGCTTTAACATCTGAGGGAATAGTAATATTTTATAAGTCTTGTAGTAGAATTTCCCATTATCTATTCTTTATTCTTATTGGCTATCTTTTAATATCTATTCTCAAATTAAAAACAGGTTTTGGGAAGGAGATTAAGGGCTTATAGTTTAAGTTCTTTAGAGACTTGAATGACAATATTTTATATGTAAGAATCTAAGATTTAGGCTATAAATCTGGTTAAAGATTTGGACAGAGCTGAAATACCGAGAGCTGATATTTACACCTGGGCAAACAGAATGTATACAAGTAATAGATAAAAACTAAAACTCCTAAGCTTTATTCAACAGAAATCAGTACAGAAAACCCAAAAAAGCTCAGTGCCATAATTATTGAAAGGAGCATGAAGATGGATTGCGACTGAGAGAAGTTAATCAACTGAACCTTGAAAGCTAGATAAAAATCAGGAAATATTTTCTTAGGGGTTGGTAACTGTAGTAGTGTTCTTTTGCTCAAACCACTAAACGTCTTTATTAACATATGTGACAATAATTAGACCTTGACTGGGAGACTAATGTGATGATGTTATGGCGTTTTCCTCCTAGTATCTTTTTTTCATGCTTATTGGGAAAACAGAGGTTCTTAGTCTAACTGTGATTTTTGAGCATGGACTTTTGAATCAGATTGCCTATATTTAATTAAGTCCTGGCTTCACTACTTAATAGTTGTATGACTTTAGGCAAAGTATGTAACCTCTCTTCACCTCAGTTTCCTCATCTGTAACATGTGATAATAGTATAATGGTTAATAATGGTATAGCTAACTCACAGAGTTGTAAGGATTCAGTAATTTAATACCCTAAAGCACTGAGAACAAACAGCATCTCTCACTTGGCACTAAATAATGACTGCAAGGGTGAGAGTTTTGGAACTTTGGCAAAAGGAACACTACTCACAAAATGGAATAGAACTGGGTATGGTGGCTTATGCCTGTAATCCCAGCCACTCAGGTGGCTGAGGCAGGAGGATTATCTAAAGCCAAGAGTTTGAGACCAGCCTGGGGAACATAGCAAGACCCTTGTCTTGTAAAGAAATTAAAAAAAAATTAGCCAGGTGTGGTGGCATCTGCCTCTAGTCCCAGACACTCAGGAGGCTGAGGCAGGAGGATCGCTTGAGCCCAGGAGTTCAAGGCTGCAGTGAGCTGTGATTGCACCACTGCACTCCAGCCTAGGTAACAGACAGAGACTCTGTCTCTTAAAAAATGAAAATGGAAGGCCGGGCGTGGTGGCTCACACCTGTAATCCTAGCACTCTGGGAGGCCAAGGCGGGCGGATCGCTCAAGGTCAGGAGTTCAAAACTAGCCTGAGTGAGAGCTCGTCTCTACTAAAAATAGAAAGAAATTAATTGACCAACTAAAAATATATATACAAAAAATTAGCCGGGCATGGTGGTGCATGCCTGTATTCCCAGCTACTTGGGAGGCTGAGGCAGCAAGATTGCTTGAGCCCAGGAGTTTGAGGTTGCTGTGAGCTAGGCTGATGCCACCACGGCACTCACTCTAGCCTGGGCAACAAAGCGAGACTCTGTCTCAAAAAAAAAAAAAATGAAAATGGAAATAATAAAAAAAAGTTAGGTGTATAAAGTATCAGCCTTTTTCGGAGATTGGCAGGAGTGGGTATCCTAATGTACTTTTTTTTTAATCAAACTGCCCTTGTCTTGCAGAAATCTAGAAATGATAACCCTTGAAAGCTTACAATCTTGCTACAACTATTTTTTTTTTTTTTGAGACAGAGTCTCGCTTTGTTCCCCAGGCTAGAGTGAGTGCCATGGTGTCAACCTAGCTCACAGCAACCTCAAACTCCTGGGCTCAAGCAATCCTACTGCCTCAGCCTCCCGAGTAGCTGAGACTACAGGCATGCGCTGCTATCCCCGGCTAATTTTTTTATATATATTAGTTGGCCAATTAATTTCTTTCTATTTATAGTAGAGATGGGGTCTCGCTCTTGCTCAGAGCTGGTTTCCAACTCCTCAACTCGAGCAATCCGCCCGCCTCGGCCTCCCAGAGTGCTAGGGTTACAGGCGTGAGCCACCGCGCCCGGCCACGCTACAACTTTTAAGAGTTTTCCTTCAGAGTGTTACATTTTTTGGTTTGCCTGGATCCTGACTTCCTCCGCCCTAGCTTATATTGGCCCTGCTGCTTTTGACAGCATCCAGAAGCAAGGACGGCCATACAACAGCAAAGAAAGATGACAGAGGTACAAAGGGCCGCCGGAACCAGCCAGGCCTTTGGAGTCACAGATGCCCCATCGGAGGTCTCTTCTCCATTCGCAGATGTGTGGTTTCTGCTGTTGTACCCCTTGGTTTTGTTCAGTAACTGTTTGCTACTGTTGAGTTGGGATAGGACAGGCTTATGAGAAAGTTTTGTGTCTATGGGCACAAAGAAAGGAGAAATAGTCTTGTTATCTGGATTGCTGATGAAATCAGTACTTGGTGACACCGTATTTACCTTTGTGGTAATGGAGTCATTCAGGGAAGTGAAGCTTGCCCCAAAATCTGTGGTTAACTCCTTGGAATAACTGGTACCGTTTGTATTTACAACCAAATCTTGATGTGTGGTGGACAACGGAGCCTCCATTGACGGCATCATAGGGTTTATCACAGTGGTTTGTTGTTTATCTAAATTCATAGCTTTTAGAATCCTTAGTCTGTCCCACCTATCAGATGAAGAGCGGGTATTTAGGTATGTAGAAGGTAATTGTCCAAAAACCAGCAAATCCGGATCTATACCTGTAAG